TGTCCTTGTGTTTATATTTTGTTTCTGCTGGCTTCTGTATGCTTTGTTCAAGTACAAAATAAAGTTTGAATACATTTGATATGATGTTCATAAAATCAAAAAAATTATGAATATTATTGGAACATTTAATCGAGCTAACCATGTTGGAAATATCTTCAAAGATAGCTTGACATGATCAATAAAAGGTCGAATATAGCTTTGATTAATTATTTGAATATGTTCAAATAAGATTGAAAAATCTATAAAATAGTTCAAACACTTAGAATTGAATCTGAATTTGACCGTGGATGATACCTAATTTTTCTAACAAGTCAACCCGACTAGCTAAACTTGTGAGTAAGGAGGGAGAGGAGAGAGCAAAGGAAATAACTATAGATCTCAAGTTGGCAAATTGTCCACTAATTGAGAAATTCGAGGTCTCCTCAAAATATAGAAAGAGCATCCCGCTAACTATTCTTTATGGCTCATTATTTATAAGGTTTTGAGAGCTACATAAAAAACTATACAGGTATAAAAAATACCAGCTACATGAAATACCTGTGTAATTATACTTGCTAATATAGAATATGTATTGACTCTTGATATATTGAAGGATGGTGAAGTTAACGGGCAAGCTCTCTGTAGGCAAGCTCGATGGCAACAAGTTGGCTAACAGTGAATATGTGAATGAGCCATAGTGAACGTCCAACCGTGACCGATGAACTATGTAAAAGATCTCGAGTCACCTTCAGGAAAGAGGCACGTGAGATGTTGCTGGTAGGGAGAGCTTTAGGCCAATCAATAGTTGTTGAGTAGTATGAGTAGCCTTTTTGTAGCTAAGTCGGGTGACCTTGAATATGTTGTGGGTGTAGTCACTGAGAGACATAGCGGCAAGTAGTGGTCTAATGAAGGATCTCTAATTCTCTTAAGGAGAGCTCCTTAGTAGGCCCATGCAAGTACAGCCTGTTTATGTCATCGAGTGAGTTCCTTTGACAGTTTCTGTTGAGTGCTCTAAAGGAACTCCTATTTAGATTGACTTTTCATTATGACCCAATTGCTACCTATAAAATATCTATATAGGCATTTATGAGTATACAACTTGATCAAACATTATTCACAAATCTTTGAAGATAGATTGACATGATCAATAAATGGTAAAGGATATGTTTGGTTAATTATTTGAATAAGTATGAATAAGATTATTAAAAAAAAAAAACATTAAGTTCAAACTTATTCAACCATTCTTCACACATCTTCAAAAAAATTTTGACATGATCAATGAACGATGCAAGATAGGTTGGATTAATTATTTCAACATGTTTGAATAATCTTCTTATAAGACAAATGTATTGCATTAATATGTTGAGTACCGATGCAATCATTCGAGAGTGGAACTATATAAGAAGATTATAAGGCTCAAAATATTTGCCAAATTTCTCCATCACATAACAAAATTGTATCTAACATAAGCACTATAGTGCCTCTCAATTGGTACGATCAAATCAGAAGCCTACATGCATAACAATACAATTTAATTTAATTCAAAGTTGATTAAATAACAATTGAATATAGATGGAATAATCCTAAAAAATATTTGAATATGATTAAACCTTCTTTGAAGCATGGTTGAATCATAGTTCCAAGCATTTTTGAAGATGAATAATCATGGTTTAAAACATATATGAACATGATTAAAGCATGTTCTAAAGCATGGTTCAAAGAATCATTTGAAGATTATCGATCACGACTTTAAGCATCTTTGAAGATAATCGATCATGATTTTAAGCATCTTCAAAGATGATTGACTACAATTTCAGGCATTTTTGAATAAGATCAAGGCGTGGGTTTGAATAATGACTCAAAGCATGGTTTGAAGATTATCTAATATTTGGAGTTTAGGGTTTATAATTTGTATTGTGAATTTGAATCAATCATCTTCGAAGATGCTTGAAATCAAGGTAGATCATGATTTTGTAGAGTTTACAAAATAAACAAGACAACAACAACAACAACATCAAGCCTTTATCCCACTACGTGGGGTCGGCTACATGAATCCTTTTTCTCCATTGTGTCATATTAAAAGTTGTTTATGACATATATGCTTCGTTTGAGATTGTTTTCTTACTGTTTCTTAAATCAGCTTCTAGTACAAAAATTTTAATTTTTATACTAAAAAGCTGCTTTAAGAAGCAATAAGA